AAATAATTATATTATAAAAAAGTTATGTCGTAAAAATATTATATTTGAAAAATATATTTAAAAAATTATAAACAGAAATTGATTTTTTTCAAAGACCACAAATTTTATGAATTTGAAACGCGTTTAAAGAAAAATAAAGATTATACCTGTTAGGTACATAAGTTTATTCACAAGTTAATTCAACGAAATTAATTTATATAATAAAGTGTGCTTACGAATGAAGTCTGCGGGGTTGTAATGTGGCAGTAGAGTAAGTCCTATTGTAGAGAAGAATCTACCGACATTCGTCGTCGATCCGTAGTACGCCACCTGACCGTTACTCAACAGGAGAAGCTTACTAAAACTGTGGAACATTCTGGAACTAGGTTGATGTACCGTCACCACAATACTTTTACCCTCCTGCTCAGCATATTTCTTCAACCGCGAGATCAATGCTTGTGCCAAATGTGAGTCGAGTCCACTCGTAGGTTCCTGAAAGATGAAAGATTTTATAAATTAGCGATGCAATTATATTGTTAGATCAATGTCCGTTTCTATCAATGTAGATTAACTTTAATCTTGGTTTAACTTACTTTTCTAGTTCTAAGAATTAGAACCAGCTTTTCTAGCTCTAAGAATTAGAAAAGAATAAAGAGTAAATTAAACTGAGATTAAAGTTAATCTACACTGGTAGAAATAAATATTAAAAAACTTTTTTTTAAACAAAAATTCACGTAGAAAATTGAATCATTATTTATTTTATCATTTATTCATTCATTTTTCAATTTATAAATTGTATCATACACAGATCCGTAATTTCAAATATATTCTATTTGAAGAATTTTCTTTTTTACAATTCCTTAATGTCATAAAATTCTACATCCGAGCAGGAAAGAACTTATATAGGAAAAAACTGAAAAATTTTAAATCCTACATTATTCGTTTTATATTTAGAATTACATAAACTTCGTAAGTTTTTCTGCATAAGTTTCCATAAGTTACTTAAATTTTATACAATAATTTCTTCCAATTGATTAACATTTAAAAATCATATTACATTACAGAGATAAAATCCATGAATGTAGATATACTTTTCGTATAAAACTATGATATAATATAACAATTATAAAATCAATCATACATAAAGATGATGAAACATTAAATATTGTACATGCATTCAGCTTACAAAGAAAAAATGTAGGAAAAACTTACGTCAAGTAGCATCAATGATGGATTCGTGAGTAGTTCGCAAGCTATACTCGTCCGCTTCTTTTCACCACCGGAAATTCCCCGTTTCGAATAATCTCCAATAACTACACAAGAAATACAAGTATATTACTTTATAAATTAAAGAAATAATGTCTAATACGTTAAATTACAAATATCAATTAGGAAGTGGAGGGGATCGTTTTATATTGTTAATTTATATCATTTAACACACACACGATTGTAATATTCATTACAAAAAAATATATTAAAATGTGCGGGCGTAATTACTGAATGTTAAGTTATTAACGCGCACCGCTTTCTAGTTTCTATACGCGATTGCGCTACCAACAAAGTGTGAATAATACACGAAAATAGTACTCGACTAAGCAATGAGATACGCGAAGATCCGTCATACGAAAGATATTGAAAATGTAGGCGATCGTAATTACCATGTCACGCATTTTACCGAGGCGGAGGAAAAAAAGGGGGCATTTAAAAAAGTTCAGAAGATACGCGACGCGTATGAGACAATAAAGCGTCAAAGGCGTTTTATTAGCATGCGAACCTACGTCCGCGCGGTCGCGAATAACAGAATTACGAGCAGATATCGATGAAAAATCACCGCTGACAACAATAAAGACAAACAGTTTTCCCATCGGATCTTTCCCTTTCCCTCGGCGGCGTTGGCGTCCAACATTCCGGGTGCCGATATTCGGATTTGCTAACGCCAGCTGTAACTATAAACGAGACGCGGGGCGCGTGATCTCTGACGGTAAATTATTAAACTTCGTCATCGTCGTCGTCGTCGCCGCCGGTCGCTCACGCCTTCGGGGCACAGGAAGAGAAACGAACGTATAATTGTGTGCGGGGAATAATATTTTACGTCACATATACATTCATTTGATGTATACGCGACCGAGGCGGCCGAGCGTTCAGCGCGCTCGAGGAGCCCGGGGGTTAACGATCGAGGAAACCGTTTATCAACCGACCGACAATGAGCCCGGCCGCTCTGTTGTAGCGTAGAGATACGCGTACTTTCCCTCGTTGGTATTCCGGAAAATGTCACCGCGCTTCCGCTTACATTCGACGTTTCTATACGTTCCCATACGTTTCTATACGTGGCTCTCTGACAATGAGTGAGACGACGCGGGATGATCGCGAATTCGCGTCTATTTCATTCGAATGAAACTCGAAGAAAATCAAATTAAGCTGCAATCCCGGCAGGTTTTTATTTGGACAAAAGCAGTTATCTCGGTGAACAATTGAATGTAAAAAGAACGTGTCTGTATAATATATATTGGCGTTATTATCAACGGATATAAGATAAGATCTTATTCGTCGAGATCTGATTAAGATTAAGCGGATTTCTTGCTTCTTGCGGATTTATAACGCTCAATTGCCAATGGCTGTCTAACTTCTGAACATTAAGAAGCGACGTCCAATCCAATTTGCTCGTTAACGAAGGTTGTATATTATTTTGAGAAACGATGCCTCGTCCAATTTTCTCGTTAACGACGGAATCTACGTCATTCTGAGAAATCTCACGACATACGCGTGAGGCGCTAGACATGCATGTAGGTCAGCTTGTATATTACTTGGCTCGTTTTTCCTACATGCATATTTCGATAACGCGCCCATAGCTGCTTGACGCTCGGACGACGGTTCGATATTTGTGATCACGGAAATTGTCAATCAAAATGCTAAACCAAGACGGATAGTCACGGTGACGATAACAGTAAGAGTCGGTCGCGAAATTATACGATTCACCTCTGCCTCGGTTTACGTTACAGTCAGTGCTAAACATCGAAGAGTCGGGGGAGGGGGAGGGGGAGGGGGGCTAATGATATTTAT